CCAGCATCCTGTTGGCTTTCGTTGCCACTGCAGCCCACTGTTCACTCATGTTGAGCTTGTTGTTCACCAAGATCCCCAGGTCCCTTTTCACAAGGCTGCTCTCCAGCCAGGTGGATCCCAGTCTGAGCTGAATTCCTGGGTTATGTATTCCCAGGTGCAAGACATTTCACTTGTCCTCATTGAACTTCATAAGGTTCCTGTTAGCCCACTCCTCCAGCCTGTCCAGATCTTCCTGGAGGGTGGCTCTCCCTTCTGGAGTGCCAGCTACCCCATTCATTTTGATGTCATCTGCCATCTGCGAACTTCATCAGGTTGCTCTTGATCCCAACATCCAAATCACAGGAGAAACTGAATCATGAGAAGAGTAATTTTTGTTGCTGTCAAGCCTTTCCAAGCTGCCATGCCAATCTGTACACATCCAACAGGCTACAGGCGCTGGCTAGTTGCAGCTCCCAGCTGATGGGTCCAGGGACCCTCCACTCCATGCTCGTGCCAGAATGAGATTAAGAAAAATACATTGCATGTGAAGTGAAACAAAGATGGGAAATTGTTTATTGTGATGGAGCGAAAGAGGCTGTGTTGGCTGTGTGATGGGTCTGGGAAAAAAGGGGTGGAGGGGCAAGGTGGGCACTGAGGCTGGGTCATAGAGCTGTGGAGGGGCTGGACAGAGAAAGTAAGGCTGACTGAGCAGAATTAAAAATCAGACTTTAAATTGTCACAGGCCTGTACCTGGCCAAGGGCTGACTGGGCAGGCTGAGGATGAGAAGCAGGAGGTTCATACAACAAGTAGGAGCTTCTTTCCTAGCTTGTTTCTGAGCTATATGGCTACGTTATGATGGCACAGGATATAATGCTGTTACTCTAATTTAAGATAAAAATCCCTTGCCCCACCCTCAAAAGTTTAAGTAGAATAAGACATATTAAAATGAATATTGTAAAGGTGGCCGAGTTGCCTGCTTGCATTTATGGAAGTAAAAAAAAGGATAGAGGATGCCTGTGAAGCTAAAATGGGCATTGGTCCAGGGCAGTTAACCACCCAGTCACATTCTAGAAGCATACAAAGATTAGTTTAGTACATGTTTAGAGAAATTTTTAAAATATCAATTTTGAATTTCTTTAAAGAACGACTGAAGCTGCTCAAGGGCTTGATTCTTAATTGAAATGACCCTTGTTGTCTGTTTCAAGTATCTGCTTGATACTGCAAATACTGTAAGCGTTTTTACGGCATGCAGTTAATCTGTGGGGGCAGATCTGCCCATTAAATACTCCCTCAGGATATAATGTATTGATGGGTTACATTACAAGAGCTATGAATTATCCATTAAATGTGCACAATGCCAGTAATCTGCACACAAAGGACTTCCTAAGCTTGCATAGGCACCATGGACAGTCAATTTTCACCACAATTATTTACTGTTTATTTTTGGAGTGCTCTGAAGCTAGCGCCTCACCTCAGTGGTGGTGTTAACGTTCACTACAGAGCGTCAATGGCACTGCAGAGAGCCCTATCAGAGACAGTGTGCTCTGGAAAGAGCACTAATGACTGAAGCTAACTCTCACATGAGCTGAAGAAAATAACACTACTGGAACCAAAGAAAGGTTTTAGAGCAGGCAATCCTCTCCCCCATGACCTCCCAGCACAATAAAATTGTGTCATGTTGTTTGTCCAGGTGACAGGAAGAAGAGCATCTTGGCCAGGCTCCTCCAGTTTTCGTTAGTAAAGGTATGTGGGTAGAGGTGAGGTGTTGGACTCTGCAGCCCGGGTGTATTTACAGTGATACAGGTGCAATTGCACCATCCCATGGAAGTGTTGTGGTGCCCAACAAGTGGTGGTGCACCCTGAACCCTCTTCCTGGTGTTGCTTGGTGTGGTGTTGATGACTTTTCCTCAGCTGCTCGCCGGATGCTGACGAGTGCAAAAGTCCCTGCAGGGTGGCTGTGTGGGAGCAACACAGCTGGTTTTGGGGCACCAGACTCACACCTGCCCTACACAAACAGTGGGGAGAGCCCACCCACAGGTAATAACAAAGTACACCTCTGTGCCCAGGGTTGCACCACACCTGAAACCCTACTGAGACCTCTGTGCAGCACCACTGTGGGGCTGTTCCTAGGGCTGGGCCCACACCGCAAGGTGCAGAGCTGACACCAGGGCCAACAGCCCATGCTGGGGCTTGCATGGGTTTCACCTGATCAAAACGTTTTGCTGGACAGGCTCATTGTCCCCTTCCTGCTCCAGGGGGCTGCCACCCTGCCAGGCAAGGAGCACAGAGCCACACGCTGCCAGGGCAGCTCTGTCTTCCTCCTCGAGTCTCAGATGTTGGCTGCACATCAAGCTAAGAGTGAGCTCAGCTCTGCTTGTTACTTAGAAGCTCCACCAGATGAAAGCAGCGATGGCAGGAGATTTGTTTCCCTCATTTAAGGGGAGGGGAGGAAGGGAGGAGTTGTGTTGCCACCTGGAGCTGAACATGAGGCTGAAACAGAGGTGTGTACATCAGCTGGGTGTCTGGGGACGGTCCCCAGGGAGCCACATCCTAGCAGGCAGGGGTTATTTTTTGCTGCAATGAGAGCTCTTCCCCAGGGACAACTTCACCGCTGTGAGAATCCTGTGGCCCCTGAGCTTCCCTTGTCTTCCTACCCAGCTGGGCGGTCGTAGGGAGCCGGTGGAAACTGGGGCCACCGTCCCACAGCCATGGGCAGCTAAAGCTCTCATGGATTCAGATTCCTGTCTGGGTGAGGGATAATGTGTGTTAGGCTGAACTCGCAATTGCAAAAGCAACACTGCTGAAAAGCCAGTCCTGCTCAATCTATTTGAAAGCTTTCCAAGGCTGCTCTGCACCTCAAGGTAACAACAGCTTAAGAGGATTATGCTGTTAAAAAGGGTAATCAACAATTTTAAAAAGCCATGTTAATTAAGAAAAAAGAATAAGGAGCTGAGTGTCAGCTGCATTCTCAGTGATAAAATACCAGTTTTCTGGACAGTCACCATTTGGACACCTATCAAGTAGAAGCGCAATATCGAGGAGTTATGAAAGCATTTAATTACAAGCAAAATAAACCTCCCTTGCTCCTCATATTTCTTCCCAGTTTTGGTTTTTTGTAGGTTTTTTTTGATGCTACTGGAAGGCAATCTGTCTTTCTGATGACATTATATCTAAGTCAGGTTGATGTCAAATAAAAGTCACTGTTGTTGCATGACATTTTATGTAAGCACAAGGAAATCGTGTCCCAGACGTATTGCAAGTGAAATGGTGTTCTTTCTGTTATAAATTTTTTCGGATATGTGAGTTAAAATAAAATCATTGTCTTCTCTCCTGGTATTAAAAACCTTAATGATTTAATGCAAATTTGTTGCTGACAAAATTATATTTGCTACCTTCTGAGTTACCATAATTACATTTACCCAATTATCCTGAAACTCTCATTCAGTCATTAGGTGTTGATTTGTTTATGAAGTCAGCAACTGACAGCTGCTTGTATCTCATTAAAGCCTGTTCATGTGTAAATGCCTCCCATAAAACTGAAATTAATTTTCATTCGTGTTAGAAATATTCACTTCAAGTACAATACAATTTCAGCAAGCAGGTGCATACATTTCATTTCTCCAATACAACCTCAGCGTTCCAGCAGATTTCTTAACATCCCAAATCTCAGATAACACAGGAACTTCGTAAATTCATGTTTGCCAGATGCAGGACATCTACAGATGTGCAGAAATACCAGCACACCCAGAAAGTTTTACGAGATAAATAGGTGTTGTTATGAACAATTTTCCAGCTGCATGAGCACAGTACCACAGCCTGACGCTACCTATGCACTCAAGATGCAAACCCTCAGCAGAGAGCTATGTGTGAATGGATAAAATCTCTGGCAATGGTAGCAGGGCTGCACAGGGGTGTGAGGGCATGTTGAGGCTACTGAGGGCCAGAGCAAGACTAACGAGACCTCAAACCTTGTGTTAGGTTTGTGTCTGGTGGTGTTTTGGTAGAGGGGGAGCGGCTACAGGGGTGGCTCCTGTAAGAAGCTTCTTCTAGAAGCTCCACTGGCTCCAAGTCGGAGCTGCCTCTGGCCAAGGCTGAGCCAATCAGCACCTCTGCGGAAAGGTATTTAAGGGGAGAAAAGCCTGTTGGGCAAGTCTTTGTTTGGGAGAGGAGGTGTTATGAGAGAAACACTGAGGTCAGTGAAGAAGGAGAGGAGGAGGTGTGCCAGAGCAGATAATCCCTTGCAGCCCATGATGAGGTGGCAGGCCGACTCCCTGCAGCCCATGGAGGAGTGGAGCAGATGCCCAGCTGCAGGCCGTGGAGGGCCCCATGCCAAAGTAGGTGACTGCACCCAAAGAGGGTGGTGACTCAGGAAGCCCACGCTGGAGCAGTCTGCTCCTGAAGGACTGCACCCCGTGGAAGGGACCCATGCTGGAGCAGCTCATGAAGAATTGCAGCCTGTGGGAAGGACTCAAGTTGTCGAAGTTTGTGGAGGACTGTCTGCCGTGGGAGGGACCCCACATTGGAGCAGGGGAAGAGGGTGAGGAGTCCTCCCCTGAGGAGGAAGGAGCGGCAGAGACAACGTGGGACGAACTGACTGCAATCCCCATTCCCTGTCCCCCTGCGCTGCTGGTGGCGGGGGTAAGAGGTAGAGAAAATCGGGAGCAGGCCTGGGCCCAGGAAGAAGGTCTGCACTGTTGCAACAGATTTCCTAACACCCCAAATCTCTGATTATAAGGGAGCTTGTAAACACATGGTTGACAGATGCAGAATATCTACAGATGTGCAGAAATACTAGCACTAACCCCTTCTGGGGTGAGTGGAAGATGTTTTTAAGATTTGGTTGTACTTCTCATTATCCTACTGTGATTTGATTGGTAAATTAGTGGTGGTGGTGGGGTTTAAATTAAATTGATGGGGTTTTTCCCCCAAGTCGAGCCTGTTTACTGCCCATGACCATAATCGGTGAGTGAGCCCTCCCTGTTCTTGTCTCGATCCTTGAGCCTTTTGTTGTATTTTCTCCTCCTCATCCCACAATGGTGGGGGTGAGCAGGAGTAAGCAAGTGGCTGCATGGGGTTTTGTTGCCAGCTGAATGGGCCTAAACCATGATAAGCCTCAGTCCTGACTCCTCGTTTAGGTGGGTTTTTTTCCTGAGTAAAAAGCACAGGGCAGGCTGGGTATTTGGGAGCCCTTATCGGGCTGAGCCAGAAGGAAGGTCCCCAGAGCTCCCTTCCCCTCACACCAGTTTTGGGAAGGCAAAAGATCTGGCGCTACCCCTGTGCACTGTTCTTCCTGGCCCATTGGTGGTCATTGCAGCAGAGTGTGGGTGGGTATGGGAGAGGAGAGGAGAGGAGAGGAGAGGAGAGGAGAGGAGAGGAGAGGAGAGGAGAGGAGAGGAGAGGAGAGGAGAGGAGAGGAGAGGAGAGGAGAGGAGAGAGGAGAGGAGAGGACCCCGAAGAAGAACCCTGCAGAGCATATTCCGTACCAGGCCCCTGAGATGATGCCCTCTGTGTGGCCGGGCTGGCAGAGGAGCTCTGCACATCAAAAGGTCACCAGTAACACGCAGGTTTGTAAAGGCAGAAACTTGCCCTCTGTTAATAAACATGATTTAAAAATGAAAAAAAAAAAAAAAAAAAAATCCCCTCCCAATCTCAACCCAAAGGAGCAACTGAGCCCTTGGTCTGCTCCTTGACGGTGGAAAGGAGGGAAAAAAGAGGGAAAGTAGCTGAGATGCATCTGGTGTGCCCAACTGCTTTTGGTGCAGAACATGCAGCCATTCTTCCTCTTCACCTCAAGTACGCCATAGCATGACATAGTCATAATGAAAATGTGTTTTATGAAAAGGAAAGTAATGTTCAGTTGTAATTTGTACCTTAATTACAAACAAAACTCTGGTAACAGACGGGAATCCTTCAGATACAAGATAGAGTGTGAAATATTTATGATTTGTGCATCGCATAAAACAGAAACACAGCTATTATTTTGTCATAATTTCTCCCTACAGTATCCTAAATTAAACTGGAATTATTTGCTTCTGTCACCTCATATGCTGAGGAAAATTATTAGATCCTAAAGAAAAAAAGGCCTACAACATTGGTATTATCATCAACTACACAGTGTATAATAATCATTTTAAGTACAGTGTAAATCTTATAAATAAATTTAAAAATAACAGCCTACTTTAGAGTATAACCTGCAAAACTGTAGACACTTTTTAAACTCCTAAGTGCCTACATGAGCCACAGATTTTACAGCTGGTGGCACATAATGGTATGTAAGATTTAGTGCATCATGATCTACCTAAAACGCAGTTATTCATAGACTTACTTGTGCCATTCGGTATTATCTGACCTGATGCGCTTTAAGGATTTAATATTTGCCCCTGATGTTTTGCCTGGAAATTGGAAATTCTGAATAGTGGCTGCAGAGTACAAATGGCCAGTGTGTTGAAAGAAGGTATCATTGTGGGGTGGTTGATAGGAATAGGTTGTGTTGAGCCCATGGAGAGTGCAAAAAGATGATGAAGGACAGGGAAATACAATGATAACTTAATCTGAGCAAGCTCTCATTGCAATTGCTGTGACGGATTCAGGTCAAACGTAAGCAAAGTGTAACCCTAATTGGAATAATTCTCACATGAAGGAAGCCCTGAAGATTATTGAGATTTATGATAACTTTTAATTTGTATGTTGTAATAAAACTCTTAAAATAAATAATGAATAAATAATCTAGTTAAATAAATAAAAATGTTAAGGCAGGCAAAATAAGTTTGATTACAATAAGTCAAATGGGTAGGACTTTCTAATAATTTTTGTGGCTGATTTTTGCAGAAGAGAATGTTATTTTTGAAGACATGCTATACAAAGAGGTAAAAAATTCCCAGAAATGAATCATTAGTTACTGTTTACACAAGGCTTTGGTCTGAAGATGTAAACAGTAAGGAATGTGCAAAATAAAAATTAACAATCCAAATAAAGTCTTCCTCCAGTGGGGCATTTACGGACAAGCACCGCTATTTTTGAAAAGGTCTGAACTTTATTGGAAGTATCACAGTATGTATTAAAAACAATCCTAAACAATAGTTTCTGGTGACTTCACCAACATTGCACGCTAATTATGTAAGGAAGGCATATTACATTAAATATCTGCAACTGGGTCAGCGCTGGTGGCCTGGCACCCCACCCACTGGCTTGAGTATGATCTACACAGGACTTGATCTTTGTCATAGCAATGTAAAAGTAGATTAATTACCTACACCCCCCCAAAAAAAATTAAAAAGAGTAAAGAAATGCTTACCAAGTCTTCTGTGGTAAAAGGACGGTGATTCTCCTCCACTGAGTAAATTCACTGGAGTGGTAAATACTTGCTGATGTAAACTCTTGACAGCTTGGCATACTGGGAAGACATTCCTTGAATCAAAACATTTCAAACTCAGATTTAATGTTGAGGAAGAATTGGGAACAGAAGCAACGGTTAAACATTCACAGATCCAGGAGCTTGTCTGGGTCCAGATGTTGGAGTGAAAGACCCAGAAGCAGAAAAATCCTGCCATGATGCAGAGAAATTTCTCAGAAAACTAACAGTACTACAATTAAGGATAGTAGAAAGCCATATGACTCATTTAAAGAGTTTAGCATTAGTAACTAGTAATGTGAAAATAGTTAAATTATAATAGTTATGTCTTAAATATAAAGAGGGAAGGTTCAGGCTGGATATTAGAAGAATTTCTTTACTGAAAGGGTTGTCAGGCATTGGGACAGCCTACCCAGGGAGGGGGTGGAGTCTCCATTCCCGGAGGTGTTTAAAAGACGGGCAGATGTTGTACTTAGGGACATGGTTTAGTGGTGTTGATAGAGCTAGGACAAAGGTTGGACTCAATGATCTTGAAGGTCTCTTCCAACCGAAACTGTTCTATGATGCTATGATTCTATAAGGGCAGAATATATTATATTACAGATAAATTTGTTGCTTAGATATCTTAGAGTACTAACTGAAGATCTGATAGCTTATTCTATTTTGTTGGGTTTTTTTTCAGTAGATTTTCTAAAGGCTTAGTTTCCTTTCCAGCAATTTTCAAACATTTTTTGTTGATTCATCTCCTCTAAAAGATCTTACAAAACAAGATCTGATCAGTGCTTGTGAAGCAAAGAAAACTTTCAAACATTTTAATTAATTAGTGTTTTGTGTATTTGCCAGATTATGTCCTTGAAATATACTACAAATAGCCTTCTCTATTACTCTTTTATCACAGCAACATGGGTGGTGTGAGAAAAATTATTTGGCTGCAAGTTGTTCTCTCTGAACTCAGCTCCACTGAGAGAGGGAAGGAGCACTAAAATCTGAAGGCAATAGATCTTCCATTGATGGCAAGGACAAACCCCAAACAGCCACCACTAGGAACTATTCTTGGACGCCATGATGATGTCTGCTAGGTATAAAAGGCATGAACATTGTTTGAAATACAGTATTTATAGCTTTCCTCTGAATTTTGTTTAAGATACTATATATTTACTTGGATTTCCAAAGTTTAGAAATTCAGTTATCACCATTTCTCTACTCTGCCCAGCAAAGCAAGCATGGCAAAAGGTGACAGGACAATGCTTTCATTGCTCATAGAAGATGTGGGTGTTCAAATCCCTCTATGAGCCTATAGAGCAGCCAGTGAAAAAGTACCAGGACGAGTTCCCTGATACCCTTTGAACCTGCTTGGAGGCAGCCGAAGAACCTTGGTTAGTTCACTCCGAGGCCGGGGAAAGTCCAGCTTGCCATCCAAGAGGGAAAACAAAAGCACAAATTATGGCCAAATGTGCTATTCGCATTTGTGCTCAGACAGGGCTGAGCCACGGGGGGAAATAGCAGCCAACACTGCTATTTGCACTTCTAGCAGAGATGGGGAAACAGCCAGTCATTACAGCCCTGGACTGTGTTTGAACCAGGGATGGGAGATGAAAGGCTCTACATTACAATCCCCAGAAGGAATGCGCTTTCCATTTACGAAATGGCTGCGCATAAGGGCAGAAAGAATTTCTATCCATTTAAATTCCAGGAAACAGTAGATGCATTTTGCTTTGAAAAACAAAGCAATAGCATAGGAAAGATCTCGACCATTACTCTGTAGCTCTGTCTAACTGTGCCCCAGTTCTTTTCTCAGCCTTGGTCTATTCCTGTCAAAATTTTGTGTTTCAGGCTCTCAGATACCATTCTCCCAAATATGAAGAAGAACATTTTAAATACTTCTGTTAGTGATTTTGACTGATTCCAGCTGAGAATTTCTTTATAGAAAGGGAAACGAGGAAAACATGGTCCTTTGTCCAATGCCACGAGTATATTTCAGATGATCTTTGTACAAGCAGAGTTTATGGAAGACATAAACTGCCAGCCTCACCTCCTGAACGAGATGCCATGTCAGGCCATGGTTGGTGGAGTAGTCCAGTTTCACCTGGTTGTCCATATGAGGAGTAAACGCCTGACCACAGCCCATTACCAAGTTGAACTGTATCATATACGAAGCTCCGATCTGCATAGACTGGGTCTCCACATAGCGCATGCTAGAAGCTAACTTTGAATCTCCTGTAAAACTGAGAGATGTAAGGAAAGAATCAGGATCCGTCCCCAAAATAATTCAGAAGGAAATATTACAAATGGTTCTGGGTTAAATGCAGTGATGCTTCTTTCTTTGTTCTGCAGATTGGCACATGGGATGAGACCACATATAGAAGCATCTTTCCATTGGTACTTCTGCAAATTACCAGAAAGGCCTTGATGTGTCCTAGAGTGTGAAACATTGAATTATTCTGTTAGTTCTTACTATATGCTCTTTGTATTAAGGATCTAGTTAGGATCAAGCAAAGGATAACATGCAGAAAAAACAAAATAAAGAAAGTTCATTACCCAGAAGCATCCATTGCCTAAGGTCATGTCTCAATAACAGCTGTAATTGAGTTCAAACACTGGAGGATGAAGATGCACTGCATTTAGTTTAAAATATTCTTATTACACAGACTTTTCATTCCATTGATTTTCAGGTGATTCTACATGCAATACACTCACTGACTTTTGACTGTGTTTCAGAGTTAGTATCACCTATACTCAGCTTCTTTTCTGCAGGATGTACTGATATAAGAGTTACATTATCCAGTGGATTGGAGAAGATAAGTTTATCAGTAGTAACGTTTGGAACACACCAAGCCTCGTATATGATACAAGGTACCTAGTTGTCACACACATGGCAATACAATATATAACTTAAAATTACAAGATTATTTCAATTTAAATGCAGGTTTTTCTTTTATGCACTATTCAAAAGGAAAAAAAACAAACCAACAAATGAATGCAAGAAAGGTATAAGGAGGAAGTAATAACAACTTAAACTTTGAATCCTGCACACTAGCCTTCAAAACAGAATGTTTTTAAGAAAGTTCATGTAGAATGAAAATTGCCTCCCTCCCTTTAGTTTGAGATATTTACTTAGTGTCTTCAGAACTACTATAGTCCTTTCAGCTTCAACATTTTCTAAGACTATTCTTAAATGTGAACAATTTAGGTATTGGATGTTTTTAAAGACAATCACTGCAAATCATCATGCAAAAATAAAAATCTACTTTCAGTACAGTGGTGATGAAGAGAATAATCTAATTCAAGGTTGCCCTTATGGCTGAGTAAGTTACAGTTTATCATCTTAAATAAGAAAATCTAGTCTTTCAATACTGTACAATAAAACATATTAGGTTCTACTTCTGTAAAATTCAAGGTCACAATGAAGTCAGTGTAAGGACTAGGAATACAAGTCAGTGTTATTTAGCACTCTTTTAAATTAGTTCTCTGACCCAGACGGTTTTCTATAGCAACCTCTCCAGAGACAGCAGTTAAGCCATAAATGTCGGCATACTACCTTAAAGCTTCAGAAAAAATTACTGAAAGCTGAAATTAGTTTTGTCATTATCAAATTGCTGTTAGTTGGCACAAGATAATATCCAGGCTCCTTTTTACCCTCTGACTTTGCTTTCCGTGTCTTTATTTCCTAAAGGTTGGTCCAACTCATGGCACCATATGAAACTACACAGTACAGTGATCAGCACCATGAACCAACTGTGGATGGACACTCACTTCACTGCTGGGCCATGGGCAACTGGACCAGAAGGCAGTAAGTTGCCTTGGAAAACCATATCTCAGGTGTTTGCTCTTTCAGTCAGTGTTTTTCTTCTCAATGGGAAGGATAATTTTAAGATGAGCTGAGGATATAATCTATACTCCTCAGCGGTCCAGCTGGCAACCTGCAGTTTGTGGCTTCATTGTTAGAACTGAATGCATCTCAGAAGAGTTTGGATAATTCCTGAATTAATTTTTCTTCCAGACTTTATCTTGTACTGACAAAAAAATGCAAATTTGAAAGTGAAAGCTGACTTGGTCTGAAGTAGTTTTAATTTCTACAGTGCAGCTTGAAATTTCATGGCTGATGTGGGAAACCAAGGTTTTACTGAAGCCCTCTTGGGAAATCTATGCCAGTACAACCAGGCTTCTCAAGTATGTCACCCATGTCCAGTGTAATCAGCTGAAAGTTATGTGTAGCAGTGTTTTGGAAAATGATTTGGCATTGCACACGTAAACCTGGGCACAAAACATCAGTTACCTAAAGCTCGTTGAATCGAATAAAGGAGTTGAAACTAAACAGTTTGATGAAGCCTTTGCCCAGAAGCTGTCTTCACCAAAGTGATGGAAGACAAGTGAAGGACTGGTACTCACCATAGGTGCAAATAATTAAATATTTTGTTTTGTCTTTGTCTCCTTCTATTCAATTCTCTCTTTTCAATATTACTGGTTTAAAACCGGGGAAAAAATCCTAAGATCTAATCTTTTTTATTGGTGGCATTCAGGTCATGATTAAACCACTAGAAATTCATTATTCATTTTCATTTAGCAGCTTAACCACTGGGTATTGTACACAGTACCTTAAGTAAGCATTGTTTTAAAGTCAAAACAGCTCTTTAGAATGGATATTAAAGAAATGTGAAAAAGGAAGCTAGTGATGAGACGAAGACAGTCTGTGATGCTCCATAAGAAACTCTTTTAAGGGGAGGAAATCCCATTATGGGTTCACAAAGTCCTTTGTCATCCGCAAATTGCCTCCAGCTGAACAAGGGTAGCATTAAAGGTGGGAGCTCCACACCTTACTTGCCACTTCTCTCTCCCATGTACATGGTTAGGGGTATGCTCTTCTGCTGGAATACAAAATGTTTTCTTTGTTCTGCAAGTCATGCAGCTGGAATACATTTCCAGATTTTGTAAAAGACAGTGATGTCCCTGGCATAACAATAATTAACTAAAAAGTCTTCAGAAATGAGAGTGCAGAGGCTACATTTTTCTATAAATATGTAGCTGTGAGTTGGTTTCTAGCGCGTATATAATTAGACCTGTGGAGGCACAGGAACACAATACCCATAGGTGCCCTCAGAACAATCGCTCTCCCTCCAAGCACTGCTAACTAATTGGTACTTCTGGGAATGATATCACAGCCAATGTCAGCCAACCTGCACTGCTCCAAAGTGCTCTGGGATCCCCAGAGTTACCACGTTTTCAAGGCTGGTACTTTCAGGAATACTGAAAAGCCACATGGATGCAGCTGGTTTTGTAAAGCCACATTGACCAAGATTATTGACGTTGATGGCCAAATGCTCACGCCAGTCCCAGCTTTGCTTCCATCAAAAGCAGGAGTCGTCCATGTGTTTTTACATCACATAATATCTACTTTGCTAAATAATTCCTAAATATATTAATATGTTTTAATTAAGTCAATTACCTGAAAGAAAGCTTTTGCACATTACAGAGTAATAATTAATTAGTTTAAAAGACAAAACATTTTATAAACACAGGTGAACTATCAAGCTGATGTAGGGGCAATTGTATTACATTGCTCTGTAAGGATAGATTGTTATAAGCCAGTTTTACAGTCTTGTCCCAGGCTGCTCTAGGGATAGTGGGACACTCTATTGTCCGTTACATTGAGTTAAACCATAATGTCATAATCTGACTGAAGACAGTTTATTTATATTATGCTATTTTATTTGTGTCCAGATGAATATTAAAAAAAAAAAAATAAGTGTTACCACCCTTAACAATACTTAAATGCATTTCAACATTCAAGCAAATGCCTTCAACAGAGGCAGTTGGGTCAAAACCTTGCCTGCATATGAGCATTTTGGAGAAGTGATGGATTAACATACATCATCAAACATTTAATTTTAAAAGTATTCTGGGGTCCTTTCGGTATACTAGATATGCTTGCTGTAACAAAGCCTAAGAACCAATCTGAAACCACATGTTGATGATTACAATCAAATGAAGTGACTGTTCCAGATATAGACCATTGTAAAAACTCAAAAATCATCTTTGCTCAAAATATGTGTATTTCAACAAACCCCTCTTTTCTAAATGAAGACAGATTTTGAAAAGAACAATCTCCCTTTTCCACAAAAATAAAAATCCCCCTCCTCAGTTTTCCTCATTTTTAAGGATAAATATTTCAGATTTACAGATTCTGAGGCAGAAATGGAGGCCTAATAGGCAACTAAAGGCAATTCACTGGAAAAGGGCTGGGGGATGACACCCTGGAAAATGATTTATAGCATATTTGCCATAGTTCTACTAATGAAAAAGCAGTTGTCAGACTTTTCTCAAGAGAGTGGTGTCAATGCTACTGCAAACTCTGCTCATAGAAAGTCATGAGTTAGAAAATGAGAACCAAATGGACTCTCAGCTGGGAAAAGCCAACAATAATTAATTTAACTAGCAGCCATTTGTACAGACTTCGCCTAAGTTTAAAAATTTCCCTTGAGAGAAACAAGGTCAGTGAAGGATAGAGTTCATGTCTTCCAGTGATAATGAAAAACACTTGTACATAAATAGTAAGGAAATATTGCAAAGGCTTAGATTATTTGATGCATGGAAAGTTCAACATTTCCACTATGACTGAGCACTACAAATCCTAGCCAAGATATAGGACAGAGAATTTAGCTTAGCGTTTATTATTTTGGTGCTAATTTAGAGTCATAGGAGGAAAACAGAGTAACCTCTGCTATCTTAAATAAGCTAACCCCCTCCCCATGATAAACTAGTCTTACAAGAACAGAGGGAAAACAATGTCATTAAGGGGCTTTCATTCCAATTCTTTGATGAAGAAGATGCAAACGGTTTGAGCCTTAACATGTTGTTTCATTTTAATGAGCAGCGAGTACCTTCCTTGTCCTTATTAAAGTGGTTAATGGTGCTTCCACTGCCTCATTATCACTGCTAGAACACATTCAGTGTTGTTCCTACTGCTAAGCCAACTCCTTTTAGTTTGACAGATGATCAGAAAGTCAAATCAGACTGCTCAGAGATACCTGATAATAAAATTCCAACAGTGTTTCTCCGAGTGTCCATGGGGACACTAAAATTATTTATTTTTTCTTGAGGTTTCCTATAATTACTGTGATTGTACTTTCTCCAAATAAATATATCTGTGCCAATTAAAGCCATACTGGGTATATATGTTGATCAGACTAGCATGAAACTGTTACTTGGTTTTAAGAAAAACACAGATTACACTGAGCTTCCCTTGTATTAATTCCAAATGTTACATTTATATACTCCAGAATTAAATTTTGTGAAGCACGTAGGTTAATGTTTTACTAAAAAAGCTTATTTTTACACAGTCCTAACAGAATTTTCTTTTTCTTTGTTTTTCACTTCTTTTTCTTTTCTTTAATTTTCTTTTTTTTTTTTTTTTTTTTTTTTGCTTTAGGGCAAGTGATATTTTCTTGCTTTTGTTTCTAAATACACAGCACATTTTAGGCATAATTGCAATATGTCATAATACTGATCACAGTGTAAATAACCGAAGGGATATAATACCAAAATAACTACAAATGGCTAACATCATTCTACCAATATTCTGCTGCCTTTCCTTTTTGGAGTGTAATCTAGTGGCTATGTAGATAGATCTAAACATCACTTACAAAATATTCAGAGTCTGTACTTTATAGACTATTTTGTAACCTGTATAGCCATACTAACCTGACTGGATTTTAAATTAAGATTATGAAAATTTTTTAAATTGTTTCTGTTAGGATATTTTTTAAATATTTTGTGGGAAAAGAATGCTACATTCAAGGTTCCCATCAAACACAAATCTCTGTGCAATGGGGTGTAAAAACTTACTGCTAATTACAGTTAGATTAGCGACTGTATTTTTGTTCATAATGTGAGAATGAGAGACAGTTACTGTGAATAGCTGCCAGAAAGACTCATTTGCAGAAATGGCCTGATCCTTAGCGAGATAAATTGACGAAGAAAACAAAAGCAGAATGGAAATTAATACATGTTTCTCACCAAAGAGTCCAGTCATGTCCACAGTAGGGCTGGACATTTCCCAGGTAGAATCCCAGAGACTGTGTGACTTCAACTAGGTTGGTGAAGTCCAGACTGATGCTATTGAAAAGCACAGAGGTCATGATGATTTCATCGATTGCCCACACGTCTTCGCCTTGAGAAGAGTGATATGGTTGCCACCATCTGAACTGAATGCCAATCTGTCTTGCATCTTCAGGCAGCTCCACTGAAATTATTCTGGAAAACCAAAATTACTATTGAAATTTTCACTGTTTGTAATGCATCCATGGGGATATATTTTATGGTTATCTTTTCTTACTGACCTTAAAAATCATGGGTTAAATTCAGCCTGCAAATACCTTAGCACCTACCAGTGTAGCTTCTACCAGTGACAGGGACAGGGGAATCATTAGTTCTCTTGGTAGTCAATGTATTTATGGAAAGACAGCCATGTGCAAAAGCCACAAAAAAGAGTTTCCACCAATTTTGTAAATTTTGCTGCAACTTTGGAGCTCTCTGTAAATTTAAAGGTGCTCTTCCTTCCCGGAAGAAACCTGAATGCCCTCCATTTGAAGCCCAGGAGCTTAGACTGGCAAAAGGATGATTAGCTGACAAGGATTTATGAATTCCAGCTCCATTTTGTCGGACTCAGTGGATTTTATCCTGGTTTGAAGACATGCATCTTCTTAACATCTGTGCTTGTTTCTGCACAGCACTGATGTCATGCTTGTATTGCTCTTGTCCTAGAAGAATCCACCCCTGTAAATTGCCACGTTCAAGCAGAAAAACTTCATCTTGTCAGGCAGTGTGATTATGTGTAGTCTTTTATGGCAGACACTTTTCTTCTGCAGTTGCATAGAGATGCAACTGGAGATGAGTCCCAGGCGCTTCTCCTGGTATGCAATGTCACCTGATTTGCCATGGCAGCTATGTCAACAAACCTATAATTGACAAACTGCAAAGAAAATGAAGAGTAATATCTAATTTCCAGGAGCAATTATTGTATACAACAGCAGGGAGCATGCATTAATTGCCACAGCAACGACACCTTCTTGAAAGCTCCATAAATCACCAGGACCATGGTGCCCCACACAACTCACGTGAGTCTATGAAACAGATCGGCAACAGGGACATTTGTCTCCCTTGGTGTACAATTGCTTGCTGGCTAAAGGGTTTTTGGCAAGCTCATCATGTAGCTGACATTTTTCTTTCACTCTTAGAGGAAATGCGGATAAAATGGCAAATCAGGTAAACTGGAAACATCATTTTATACTTTAGCACCAAGATTTTTCCAGATTTAAGGCTAAGCTGCCCGTATTAATGTTTTGTCCCGCACACATGAAACAGTCTTGTGCCTGTGGCGCTCTTAGTGCAAAACCACGCTCTTAAAAATGACTTGCTAAACTGTCCTTGCAAAGAGTAAATTTATATCACGTCTGTTTAAATCACTGATTTTAAAGAAGAATATGTTAATCCACTAGCAAGAAAAAATCAAATGACTTGGCTAAACAAGTGGGAAGCACTCAAAAGGTCCTGGCTGGCATTTCTAGGAGCTGCTTTCTGCCAGTTGTAGGCTGGAGAGAGAGGTGTTGAGGGACAGCCAGAGGTGACGGCTACCGTGTCCCCATGGCAAGGGACCAGTAATGTACTCATATTATGTATACCAGATACCTTTCTTTTGCCACTCAAATAAATATGCTTGAATAATTTCATACTCTTCTTAGAGAAAGACCAAGTTCTGTTACTTTCTAGCACGCGAATAAACTATGAAGAGTTTCTTTCTACCAAGGATTCCTGAATAAGCAGCAACTCCACAACTTTTTGGGTCAATTTTCAAAGGCAAAAATGACACTAAATCAATACTGTTGCTAAAAGGAACTGATGACTTTGTCTTCCATGGTTCAGTAAGGTGAACCTGAGGAAAGCCAGTGCCCTGGCTAGGAGGAGCACTGTATCCAGCATACGCCATGAAGCACTTGGCACTTGCGTGAGCTAATGCTCTGTTATAATCCTGGGCATATTTCTCTGCTGGTTGCTGTCTCTGATGCCTGCATCTTCCCTTTTACTCTTAACTCTCATAAGCTCGCCCACGTGGACACTAATTCTCACTGACAGTAATTTACAGGAAATCCTAAATCGTGACATATACCACTGATACACCTATTGGATGTTAAAATATTTAACACATGTTAAAATAAATTTCTCATCCATGGGGATTAGGCAAACACAATTTAAAAACACTGCTGTAAACCACTGTATATGGCTCATACGTTAGTATGCAGAACCTGACTACATCTCCAGTTGCAGCAGCTTCTCCTGTCTGGCTTAGATTTGTCGGAGATAGATGGAGAGGGAGGGGGATTCTAGCTAATGACTTTTCTGCTGCAGAGAAGAAAAGTGTTCCTACTAACATTACCAGCTACCATTAGATTTCTTAAAAACCAGCTGGGAGACCTTTGCTCTGATCTCATTCTTTCAAGCTATGCGCATACCTAATATTGAAAAGCCACCGCTGTTCTCCTCAGAAGAAAAATGCAGCTGTCAAATGTTAGCAGATTAAATGCACCTTTTCAGCAGAACATTAAATGTGTAATTATTTTTTGTATGTCTGAAGAGTAATTAAAATCCTGGATACAGATTGATTGCCAAACTTTGCAGGAGTCCATCTATGTTACCAAAAATGCTGATATTTTCAGACAACATAATATGAAAAGGTGAAGCTTTCTTCATGTTCTTCATCATAATTATTGCCAGCATTATCTTCAGGTTTGTATGTCTGTCATTTTTCTATATCTACCCAGTGGCCTATACATACCACATGGCAAGACCTTTCTAACCTGTTTATGTTGTGCTTTAGCTCTTTGCACTTTCATCACAACAGAAATTGTCTTTCAAGCTTAATCTCAAAAAGCAAACAAGTCTCTGGCATCAATACAACTTACTACATTTATATCTTAAACTTCATTAAAATCAGTCACTGGAATGTGTATTTTCCTTTTTGTTATAAAATTTTCATAGTGCTATATATTAAAAACCTTTAGGGAAATATAATTCCTACAGCAATAATCTTGAATCTAAGAGTTAGAAACAGGGCCATATAAAATATATATGTGACTATAATAAGAGATGGGAAAGGAGATTTTGAAGAAGACTTATGAGTGTTCCAGTTTGTAGGATCTTTCCTTTGGAAACATTTAAAACATCAGAAATTAAAGTCTACATGGAGTATACATCTACCAAATACAGTCATCCCTCTCAGATTTTTGAGTATTTCTTATAGCTCCCAGGAAATATATTTAATATTACAAGTATTTTTTCTACTGGAATATTCTTAACCACATTTTGTATATTGTAATTTTGTACTGAGTTGTTAACAAGATGAGGAAATCTATTATTTTTTTTTAAATTCACCGATCTGAGCTCCATAAATGTAAATAACTAAAATTATATGTAGTTAAAAGTGACTTGCAGACTATCTGCAGTCCCACCCCTGAGGTTGTCTCAGGCATTATCCTGGAATTCTCTGGAGAGGTAGAGAAGAGCACACAGAGCAATACCCCGTGCAAAGCTGCTCTTGGGCAGGAATGGACCAGCTGGGACAGGACCAGTGATGCCACCGTTGGCTCTGCCTCTCGTGTGCCCCCTAGCAGAGCAACTCCTTTCACTGGGATTTATTGGCTCTGCTGCAGTCAAGGTGGATGCTTCCAGGTTCGAGTGGGATTGTTCTGGGCTTGTGGTACAGCTGTTCTCATGGATACTCCTGATTTTGCATTGATTTATTAAAATCGGTGGCTGGTCTGACAAATGTAACAGTAAAGAATACCCTCTTCTCTAAACACATCAGATACATTCCTTTCTAAGATGACACCAAACATAGCTGCTGCTAGACTAGACGAGCTTTTTGTTCAGCTTCTTGATGATTTGTACAATTCCCATTGTCACCAGCAGGTCCTCCCAGGGCACTGAATCCAGCCCACAAGCACAGGCATAGTCGTGTCATCTCGCCTGGAGTGACCCTCACAGTCAGATTTTGTTTCAGCTGTCCTGTGCTGCCTGCAAACTCCAAATCCCAGAGGATGGTGTACTGAAGGTATCTATGTCTTCAAAACTACAAATAATTTATGTTAATTTTTCTTTACAAGTGCCTGCTTCCATGGGAAAAGACATGCCCCTGTTTCCCACAAGTGTATTTCTACCCCTCTTCCCGCACTGCCTGGCTTGTTCTATCACATCACCTGAGACTCGAATGCCATTAAATCCATGTGTTCATTTTTAGGGAAGCAGGCAAAAATGGGAAGTGCCAAGAACAACTGCAAAATTTTAAAGAAAAGTGGTAACTTTCAGTGTGCAGTAAAAGATCTTCACTCCACTCCCTCCTGCACCATGTGAGCAGATGTACTTACTCTCCGCACTGCAGTGACTACCACTACCAGCATTGACTGCATGTAGATAACACTCTTCATAATATTTATGCATATACCTTGGCTCGTGGTAATTGAGATAAGAATAGTGTTCCAGTAGTTTCCAGGTAATCCCGTTGTCGTAGGAGTAGTGCAGCAGCACTCCTTCCCCAGGCTGGTCGGGTGCTTTGCAGGTACTCAGCACTGACTTGCTGCCCAGGCGCAGTGTGAACTGCAGGAACCTGGATCAGAATTACACAAATATTTATAGGGTACCATTTGCATAGTGTTTTGGTTTGTTTTTTTCCTAACCAGGTTGTTTTCAGATCTTCTCAATCTAGACAAATTTTGATAAATATCAGTTATGGGATTTCATACGTGCTATTTGTTTTTACTGTCAATGCAATGTGGCACGTATAGTTAAAAAATGCCAATCATTACAGCATTTAATTATTTATTAGGCACTGAAGGGGAGGAAGAGATAGTGAATGGATCTAATCATCTGCCACAAGCTGTCAAATAAACACAACCTTATAAATAATTAATTAGCACTTGGCTTTGACACTCAGGTTTGATATTAACATTTCATATTTTCCATCTGAGCTGTACAATAACTTCCCTCCAGTCTGTTTTGGGCTCTGTTGTTTACAAAGCAGGAGGAAAAAAGACAAGGCTATGAAATCATCATTAAAATATGGAACTAGGAGTTTTTAAAAAACTTTTCTTCCTGCTAAAACAATCGGCTTAATAATGCACAAAGTTGTAGCTGGAAAGGGAGGGGTTCCCCAATTTTTTTTCCCCACAATACTGCTCTTTCTCTCTCACCTGGACTGGGAGCTGTCAAGGAAGGATGTGATAAGCTGGCGCCTCCCATCCTTGTTGAAGACCAGGGCCTTGCCACTGGCCAGGACCCCACAACCAAAGCTGACCTCAGCCCCCCGGATGGAGTAAAAATTGTGGTAGGAGGAGAGGCGGGAGCTGGTGAAGCTCTCTGAGATGAACACGGGGAAGGTCTGCGATGCCATCTCACATGCAGGCCCTGAAAAGCCAGGGTCGCACCTGCAGGTGAAGAAGATTGAACAGCATCATTAACGACCCGTCTTCTCCTGAGGTTGGTTGGCAAACCAACACAGTGGCTGCAGTTGTTGCTGGACTGAGGATGCCTACAAAGTCCCTCTTAAATCTAAGGACAAAGGACTTCTTTAAACTTTATTTACGTATTGCATAGCAAATGACTTTCTTTTAGCTAGTACTTACTTATCCAATTTTAAAAAATCATAGTTATGAACACCCCACCAATCTACCCATAACACACAACACAGAAATACTTTTATTCATTTTTGGAACAAAAATACTGCTGACATAAAACACAGTTGTTCATGGGTAAAATGATTAATTTGCTTTTATCTGTGGCACGACAGATATGATTACAAGAAATTGTAATAATCAATCTATAATTGAAATAACAGAATAGAGTGCCCCATGGGTCATGCTCTTCTTAATACCTAAAAATATTTACATGAATAATTTCAATGCGCTTACTGGTTTTGAGTAAGTACCTTTAATTTTTAGGTTGGAACCCTTTTAACAAATCAGATTTTCAGAAAATAGTGGAGTGCTGACCTTCCTTCTTTGAGGTCTGTTAGGCTATGGGGTATTAGAACTATGAAAATTGTGATTCTTTCCCAAAATTTAGTATAAAAGTGGTAAAGTCCCAAATCATCTCTAAAACCAGTATAAAGCATACATCACTGACATTTCAGTATGCTCCGTGGCACATTTTAAGGTGAACTGGAAGTTAGACCCTCTCCCAAAAGAAAATTATATTAAAAAATATTAAATATGCTGCTGTTTAGAAAGACTGATCTTTAGCTTTCCAGTGAGCTTTATGCATTCTGAGGGCTATGCTAGTTTTATATTTAGTCATCTCAAAAAGCAAGGGATGAAATGAAAATCACTTCAACTTTCAGATCATCAAGTGAACTATGTGAGAGAAATTGAATACAAGTACTGAATTATAACTCTTACTTGCAGCCATTTCTAGTACACTGTCCTCGCCCTGAGCAGAATTTGAGGCAAGATGGACCAATATAAACTGCAGAGAAAAGAAATCAGTTAAATGAAGGGTTACGTTATGTGATAAACGGAATATAATGAATACAAGAAAGTATACAGACCTGATCATACAGTTATTGTATTTGTCTTAATACCCCTAGCTGGAAGATGTCTACAAAAGCATAAAATGCATTTGACTGTGTCAAGGATAGCCAGGGATAATTTATTGTTTAATGAGTAATGTCTATCTGTGGCTTGAGACACGAGTGATATTTTATTTAATGTATCTGATTTTTCTAAGCCTGTGAATGAGATCAGGTGATTTGCTATGCATTGACCATTTTCTTGCCTTCCTTTTTCTTAATCTTATTTTGGAGATGTAATACTATATGTATTAGTACATTCCAATAGCAGTCTTTTAATTTTAAAATCCAGTGCTGCTGCTTCTCTCACCGAAATCCGCATACTTAACTTCACTGGACTTACTGGAATTAGAACCTGCTCTGATATGTCTTAAGTAACTGTTAAATATACACTTTTACTGATTCTTTCAAATGGAATAAAACTCCAAATCATATGTACTCAAAAATAATCCAGACTTGTTTTACTCTTCTACTTCATCATCCTCCAATGACTCCTAGTCAACAGTCTTGATATTTTGTCAACAATATGAAGAATGGAAAGATGAGCAAATCTCAGTATAATCTACATCTCATTGCACTACCATAAAGAAAAGCATTAATCTGGGTACAGACGAAATGTATTGATCTGGGTGTAGCCCAAAGAAATAATTTGTGGGCAATATTCTTTCAATACAATATGATAAATAGCCTTAACCTTGAATAGTGTCATCTTTTCTGTTGAAGAATGTCTATTATTTGGAGTTGTCCGCTTGTACTGTGACTTTTGGAATGTCATCCAAGTAGCCACCAATCTGAAATCATCTACAACGAGCAGTACTTATTCCTTCTCCTAGTTTTATGATGCTGCCCATCACAGCAGTGTGCCAGTACTCCCTCTAAATGGCTGTTATCTACCCCCTGTAACTAACTCCCCATCAGTTTTCATGTCATTTCTAGATTTTCTCACTTTTGAGGGTGCAAAAATTCTGTTCTGTCTGATTTCTTTGAGTCTTTTGAGGTCTTTTTGAGGGGGTGGTAAAAGTAGAAGGGTTAAAGATGTAATGATGTCGTTCAAGATGAAAAAAGCTTTATGGAAATTGGCAGTTTTCCAGTGTTTCTAAAAGATGGCCAGCTTCCAGATTTCATTTAAAACTTAATTCACATAAGAAACAGTTGTGAAGCTCAAAGTCAGAGTGCTGAATCCTTGAAAATCTTCCTCTCTTCAAGAATTCGAGTGGCTTGCCAATATTTGTA